TTTTTTTTAAAGCGGCTTTGAAAATGTGATTATTTGTTTTGTGTTGTAAAAAAAAACTATAATTATGGCATGGCAGGGTGCATAGGTGACCCCAGCTGCCCAAAAAATGTGGGCAGCTGGGTCAGGTTTATTGACGTATCATAATGTTTTTTCCATTGGGAAAATTGATGTTTTGGTCTAGGTTAGTAGGTCATCTGTAGATGCCGTAAACATTTATTTAATCCTTTCATGCGCCAATAATGATAACCTGGAATCTGATAACATGATAGGCTGTCCACTGTATAACCACCGAAGGGTTAAATGTGTGTTAAATATCTAAATTATTTTGATCATGAATCTTTAAAAGCATATTTCTTACAAAATATCCATCCATCCATTTTCCAATCCGCTTTATCCTCTCAAGGGCCGCGGGGTGTGCTGGAGCCTATCCCAGCGGTCTTCGGGCAGTAGGCGGGGGACACCCTGAACCGGTTGCCAGCCAATCGTAGGCTACACAGAGACCAACAACCATCCGCACTCACACTCACATTTAGGGACAATTTAGAGTGTTCAATCAGCCTGCAATACCCAGAGAAAACCCACCCAGGGTTTTACTTGGTGCTACACTTGGTCTCGCCGTTGCGTGCAATTGTTGTTTTCAAGAGCAGGCATAAAAAAGCAGTCTTTTTCTGTCTGATCAATGCACCTGCCATTGCGTCATTCACATAACAACCCGAGACTACATTTACCGACATTATCTGCACCGGGCACACTTTGAGCGAAAACAAAACCAAAAAACAGCCCAGTCGAACAAACATCTGAGCGCACAAATACAAGTGGCTTGGTCATTAAGTCAGCGGTCAGTCTGACACCTAAGGCAATGCATTCTTGCCCCAAGTGAGAGCAGATGTCAAAGGCTGGCATGCAAAGTGGCTCTGGATCAGATGCGTGCTGAGGGTTTTTTTTTTTCTTCTTCTTCCTTTTGAGACATTGTTACTTGTGTGTTTTTGAGGACGGGCCCACCGTAACCCAATCTCTACTCCCGGCCGTCAGCAGTGAGACAAACGCTGCGGTTCTTAGCTTCATTAGGTGGCAACATGCAAGGGGGAGGGAAACCTAACACTTGGACCTTCATCTCAAAGACACGAAGGCATCGGATGCCAGCAGGGTCTTCGGGACGCCTCGGTGTCTTCATCTCCATCTATTTATGAGTCACTGCAGCGCTCAACACGCTCCCAAAAATGTTCCACAGTTGGGCGGGCTTGGATTGGTTTTCTTTAATGCGCACGCATTTTAAATTTCCCTCACGTTTGAAGCCAAGGTTTTACATGCCAGGATTTTTTGGGAATTTGTGTTTTGATATGTCTGTTGTGGCATGTGAGGCCTTGATCTTGCCATTTTGTGTAGCACTTGTCCACGTTACAGGACAAGCTGACTTTGAATCTGACGATGGGGGGACACCCAGGTCTGGTTGCGGGTCAATCAGAGGGCGCATATCGACAAACAAGCATTCAAAGTCATAATTACACCTACCGTATTTTCCGCACTATAAGGCGCTTCGGAGTACCTTCACCGAACGGGCTATTTTAAAGCAGTTTTCATACACAGGGCGCATAGAATAGAAGCTTCAATAGTGGCTGCGGGTGCATTATGCATCCACTAGATGGAGCTATGCTAAAGGAATACAATACGATACAGCTTTATATATACAGAGCCTTCACAACCGCTGCAGCTGTAACAAAGCGCTTTACAAAACATTTAAAAAACTACGTCCTGGAAATCAGAATATTGATCCATATATAAACCGCATCGGATTGTAAAGCGCACTATTTATTGGCTTTTGAGAAAATTGAATGGTTTTAGGTGCACCCTATAGTGCGGAAAATACGGTATTGACAATTTAGAGTCAATTGGTAGGACAGAGTGTGGTGTCCCGATATCTCCAGGCTGTGAGGCAGACGTGCTAGCCACCCCTTCACTCCATCATACACAAAGTCTATCAGAATTATATATTTGCGATGTTCTGTTTGGCACTCAAGGAAAAAAAAAATCTAACTGGAATGGCACACTGGTTTCCTGCAACCCAAAACATTCAATTCCAAGATAAACTGACATGGGTTTTTTTTTGTTTTGTTTTTTGTTTTTTAGTCTACAGAGTACAGTACAGTACAGTTCAGTTTTGTCTGGTATAAAATGATCTGTTTCCACTATCAAAAGTGTATCTGTGTCAAACCACTTATCACGACCAGCTGTAGAAGTAAAACTGGCGCTTGTGTAGAGTTGGGACACCGCTATCTTTAGATTTGTCAACGGCTTTGTCGTTTTACCACATGACGACAGCAAAAAAAAAAAAAATCAAATAAAATAATAATAATAATAATCCTATAAGCATACCAAGAGTTTCACTTTGCTGACAACTGACCAGAGAACTGAGCTGGACTGAACTGGCTGTGGCTTTTGCGTCCTTTGACTCCGGTAATTGACCTACCTACCCTTGTGTGTCTATTTGCTCAAACCAGGGTGGTATGGACTTGGGATGGGGTGGGGGTCTCCTGCTCAAAGATAAATAGCTCAGTGTCGCTCTGTCATCAGAGAAGCCGAAACGTGTTTGTTGCGCAAACATCCCTTTTTTTTTTTTTTGCTCTCACACACACACACACACACACACACACACACACACACACACACACACACACACACACAAACTGACACACACTTGTGGGGTCTTTTTAATGTTTTCCTTTCAGGTTACAGGTGAGTTTACATGCAGCAAGTGATGATAAGTAATGTGTATGAGTGTGTCATCATCCATCCGACCATCCCGTGTGTGTGTGTGTATGTGTGTGTGTGTGTGTGTGTGTGTGTGTGTGTGTGTGTGTGTGCGTGCGCGTGTGTAGCAATGCTGCCCAGCCTTGTTCTGCACCGTACCTCAATTCGGCCCTACCAGAGGGGGTTTCACTGCGGTGACTCCAGCCTGACGTACCCCTACAAGAACAGCACCGTGCCCTCCTCGGTGCTCACTTCTGTTGGGTTGACACTGCCCGTGGTGTCTGTAAGTGGCCCAACCCAGCAAGGAGAGCCCCTGCCCCTGCATTGGGGAACAATGGAAGGCAGAAACGGGGGGGGGGGGGGGGGGGTTCTTGAATCACATTTGCACACATTTGAAAAGTTTTATTGAAGGACAATTAGTCACAGGCCATTGGATGACATCCTCCGGCCACCCACTTCTGCCATATCCCATGAGCCCCTAGTGCCAGGACGCTCCTTGTGCTTTCTCCTGTTTTTGTTTTTTTTTTTGTCTGTGTCACTGACCTGGTGCTTTCTCTCTCTCTCTCTCTCTCCTTCTTCCTGTCTTGCTCTCCCTCTCTCTGTTTTGTAGCTAGCCTGCCTTTCCTGATCATTGAGACTAGCACCATAAAGCCGTACCAGCGCGGGTTTTACTGTTCGGACGAGTCCATCCGCTACCCCCAAAAAGATGGCGACACCATTAGCGATGCCATGCTTTGCGGTGTTGGCATTCTTATTGCCATCATCTCTGTAAGTCGACCTCAAACTTTGTTTTTCTCCTTCAACTTGAGTCTTTTATCCACCCCACCCCTCAATCAGCCCTTAAATTATAGCACCTTCGTTTAGTAGACAGAGATGGGAACGAGAGCCATTGCGCCTTGGACTCGAGGCAACTTGAGTCACTGTTTTCATGACACGTGACTTGACAAAGACTGAAAGACTTGAGACTCGACTTGGGGAGGGACTTAGAGACTCGACGCTTGACTTGGCTCGAGACACGATGTGGTATCGGAAGAACCATTTTGTCTTTTCTCTGAAGATGAGACTCTGCATGTGAGACTTCAAGTTGACATACAAGACTTGACTTGCCCGAGGCAAAATGACTTGAGACTTGCTTCTGCGACTTGCTAGCTTGGAGATTAAGACTCAAGACTTCCACGCGACTTGAAAATGCGTGACTCGATCTCCCATCTCTGCCAGTATGTTACCATGCAGTCCTATGCTGTCAATGTGCTTTACATGTCCTCCTCCTGACATACTTCCTCAATCATACTTTCATCCACTTTGAATCATCCAATTGTCCATTTGTTTCTCATTTGTTTCCCCAAGTGAGTCAGCGGTAGTGAGAAAGCCCCCATCCCTGCCTCAAGCGTCACCGAGTGTTTCTGTGTGTGCTTGCCAAACACCAAAGAGTTTTTTTTTTAGCTTTTTTAATGAGTTCCTGAACAGGTCTCAGAACTCCTGCTCGGACTGTATGCTGGACCTCGATGCCCGTGCGTGTGACATGACAGGCGAATTCAACCCATTGCCTCCATATTCGAGTTGCTAGTAGCGCGCGTTAGCCTGAAGTGGAACTCCTGTTCCACTGCGTTTTTTTTTTTTTTTTTTTTTTTTTTTGAGAGGGAAGGGAGTAAAGTGGGTGGGGGGAGTGTCAGGGTTAGTGGAAACATGCTATAATGACATGCGGTGGGGTTTGTATGTGTCAATTAGTGGCACGTGGTTAGGCTAGCTAGATGATCTTTACAGCACAGCCTCCCATCAAAAGTTCCCAGACTGAGACACGCAGGGAGACGCACGTACCGTACGGTATTATCGCCCGAGCTCAGCTCTTCTGCTTATTAGAACCAGGAGTCCGTGTGCGTGTGACAGTTTCGCCAGTTGCGCGTTCACGTGTGGGCAAAGCTGGCGCGTCTCGCGCTCCATTAAGCGGCGTCTGCCGCCATGCCGACGGCGCTCCTTGAAGTCGACACGGCGTATATGCCGCGAGGGAATTCCCTTGCAGCGAGTCCGTCGCTGAGAGTCCCGGATAAAACCCTTTTACACTTGCGAAGACAGAAAGTTAATGTTTACAGTCCAAATAAACGGAATAAAAAGACCGGGATCAGCCTACCGGGATTCTATAATCTCTACCGATTCACAGACAAAAGCACAAACGGCAATAAACGTGCGTGTTTGTTTGCTCTGGCGGTGAGCCTGCCAGCTGACCACCCATCAGGCAGGGAGAAGTGTGTTTATGGGGCCTAACACACACCGTGCTCGTATAATACACGGCGTGTACATGATAGGACGTCTGAAGCCCGACAAGACGGTCAGGGCAATGCTCTGCAAGTCAGAGACTGAATCCTTGTGCTGGGGGGAGGTGGTTGTAAAGATGGAGAGCGGCCAGCCTGTCAGTCAGGCACCCCTGGAGGTTCCGACGTGATTGACAGGCACTGTGGCTCGACGGCTAGTTAGGTCTTAAGGCCTCCTCAAGTACAGACGGGGCCTTTTCATGGAGCCTTAGGCTACGTAAAACCACTTTGGTTGGAATACCGCAGCAATCATAAGGGGGGAGGCAGGGGGGGGGGGGTCATTCACCCCAGCTTCGACCATTAGTACCATTTAAGCACCATCAAAGTCAGACCATTCATGGTAGAGATATTAACCCCAGACGTAAGGATTTTTGTACAGTAGTGCTTTTTAAGTGTACCTAAAACGCTCTTTGTCCGTTTCGGCGAGCCACACCTACAAAACACACCGGAGGGGTTTCCTCCTTCCACCGCCTTGGCTTCCTCCATCTCAATTAAAGGCCCCCCCCCGTCATTGTTAAACCTTCGTTAATCATCTCCCATCGTATCCAAACTGCCTGAGGGAAAGGCAGGCCATGCTCATTTTGTCTTTATGTGTGTTGTCTATGTATTGTCGTCACTCTGCTCGCCTTTCTTGCATGAGTCAAACGTCACAGCGCATGGTCATCTGCTTCGAGTAAGGCTTCGGCCAGTCCTTGTAGAGATCAACCCGTCTTCTCTTTGTAGATTGTGATCGGCGAATCCTACAGGATTCACCAGCTCCACGAGGGGACTAAGTCCTTTGTGGGAAACCCTTATGTGGCGGCCTTCTACAAACAGGTTAGTCCTCGACCTTTATGCTTTAACGACGACGACGGGTGGTTGTCCCGTGTCAAAATGTCGCGCTTTGCCGTCCCCGCAGATAGGCGTGTTTATCTTCGGCTGCGCCATCAGCCAGTCGTTCACGGACATCGCCAAGGTGTCGGTGGGCCGCATGAGGCCGCACTTCCTGGACGTGTGCAAGCCGGACTTCACCGCCATCAACTGCTCGCTGGGCTACATCACCGAGTACACCTGCAGCGGCAAGGAGAGTGACGTGCAAGAAGCAAGGTGGGTGGAAACGCAGCGGCTGGGATGGATTGGAACTTTATATTCAAGTACAGGGGTACCTCTACTTACGAAATAACGTGGTTCTGGAAGAAATTTAGTAGAGACGCGTTTTGCATGTAAATGCCGTAATCTGTTCCAAGCCCCCCCTAAAATTCAGACATAAATGTTTTCTAAAGCATAAAAATGCATCAAAATATGTAACAAATACATGTTACAATTAGATGATTGTGCAATAAATGAGAGTTGTGCAAAATAAAACAAAGAATAAACTTTTAACTGCATCCTCATCGTTTTTTTTGCCCTCTTTAGTTCATGTTCTCGAATCAGAAGTGTTTTTGCCTGGCGTTTTGGAAAGAAGTGATCCAAGGACGTTTGCTTTTATCGGCTTTTAACAATCCTTCGGAAATGTCTATGGGCAAACATCAGCATAGTGAGCGATCGCCCAAATGCTGAACACTTTTTCTGGGTCATTCACATTGACGTAGAACAATCTGAACGCCTCATGGCGCAAGGGGCGAATGATGAGGACGCCACATGACACATATCTACGTATTTATCGATCTACACATATAGACACGTGCGGCAGCTGTCCCTGTTAGCCAATAGGATGCCAGGATAATGCTCGATAATAGCCAATGGCAGAGCGGCTTTAAGTATGTTGCGTTCAGGAAACTCTGAGCAGCCCAAACTGTCTTTTTACCTTTCGTATCTTGAAATTTCTTTCGTAACAAGAGGTAATATTTTCCTGTTCCGTTTCGTAACTTGAAAATGTCATATGAAGAGACGTTTGTAAGTGGAGGCACTCTATACACAAATAAAACGATCTTCTCTTGAATTTTCCTTGATTTCTCGATCGTTATGATTGTCCTTTGTCTCGGGGATGCCTTTCTTCGGATTTCTTTGGTTAGGAATCATGCCACCACCACTTCTAATGAACTGTGATATTGCTCTCCACAGGAAGTCTTTCTTCTCTGGACACGCTTCGTTCTCCATGTTCACCATGCTCTACCTGGCAGTAAGTTACCCTCCCGTGTAAATCGTTTGGATGATGTCAAATGGGGCGGGGGTCTTACAATCAAAATAAAACAATACTTCATTGATTGTAGCCATCACGTGGGAGGAAGGCGGGGGCACCCTAATGAAGTGGAGGGAGGGGCTGGGGGGGGACAAACATTCTCCTCTTCGGGATAGATGGATACATGTCAGCTGTTTTCCTCAGGGCAGCTGCTGGTGCACTTCACACCCCCCCACTTGCGTCCCTCCATCCACCTGTTAATGGGGGTGCAGCGCCCTGGAGGAATCTCATGCTTCCACAAATCCAAATTATGCGCTCGCGCACACACACACACACACACACACACACACACACACACACACACACACATACGCATGCCCTTTACATGTTCCATGTGTTGGAAAGTCCGGAAAAAGAATGGAGAACACACTGCAGGAAACTCAGCTGTTCCATGTTTAGAGAGGAAGTAAAAAAAAAAAAAAAGGCAGAGCAGGACATGTGACGACTGATCTGAGATCCACTCAGATTGTGTAAAATTCAAATGCGATAGTCTTCTCTTATTTTTGTCATCGAATAAAAATCCCAGAAAAAGACGGCCCGCAGTCTCCTATCAAATAAATGTGTCGCCTTATCGTGTCCAAAAAGTACATTTTGAATATCCTTCTTTTCCCCTTTTATTGTGTTTTGCCAATGTTTCCTATCACAGAAAACCAATCGCCCGCAAACTGAAGGCAAGGCAAGTAAGGTTGAGTTTTATACCAAAACACCACTTGAATACGCTCCACTGAAGTGTGGCCCCGCCCCCAAGCGCCCACCCAGGAAACAATACATAACAACCACGTCTGATGTGGTCGGAGCGGAAATTTGAACATCCTCCAGAGATGGCGCGTTGGCGGTTGTCTTCAACGCACCCCTTGTGGGTTTTATCCAACATGCACGCTGTTTGTCTCCGTTTCGCAGAAAACCTTCAGTAAAAGAGCCAAACGTTTTCTTGGACAAATACGAAACAACATGCGCGTGATATTTGGAGTCCTGACTACAGCTAGTCCGTTTTCTCTCACCCTGATGTGAAGACGGCGAGGGGGGGGAAAAAAACAAACCCACGTCCTCATTCTTTCTCCTTTCTTGTGTGTGTTTTCATTGAAACAAAGCAACCAGAGAGGCAGCGGGGAGAAGATGTGACCGGAATGGGTTGGATGGGCTTTTCGTGACTTTGCTTCGCTTTTGTCTGCCTCTGCCGTACGAATCAGGGAGCCTTGATTTTTTTTGTTGGGTTTTTTTTTTTCCCTCAGAATCATATATCTTGTCGACACATCCCTTATCTTTAAGTATTGAGCAACATATAGGCATGCCGATACCAGCCACAGATACTTAAACCAAAGACAATCTGACATTGAGTAAATCGTACTGACCAAAAAATGGAGTTGTCTGCTTCTGAACTCGTCGCATGTATTTTGAGCGAAACATCCGTCACACTTGGATCATTTTTATCAACCCTCGTTTTGGGCTCACCCTCTCTCACCTCAACAAATTAATCAAAGAGATTTAGGACGTCAAGCGAGGGCTTGCCAGCTTGCCGCGGCTGGCTCGTCCTCGCCCCGTCTACCTGAGAACCGCCGCACAGGAAGTCTGGAGTCGAAACAATCCCCGACGCGACCGGGAGGGATGGGAGGGATCCCCTTCCTCTCATTCCGAAACGCAGCAAAATTAACAATGACAGAGTGTCCGAAAGGAAACGCGGCAGGAGCTTTTACGGCGGTCCGCGCCTACCAAGGACTCTCGGCTGGCGTGGAGGCAGCTGCGGCTGTCTGCGGATATTGTTAGCATGACTGATTAGAAGACGCACACACGTCAGGCTTTTTTGGACCGGGCGGACCTTGGCGGAGGCTTTGCCCACTTCTGTGAGAAACAGGAAGTGAAGGGTAAACGAGAGGATGTCTGAGGCACCTCGTCTGACCTCACCACTTAGCACTTTGCCACCCGTGTGGGAATACGGCGGTAAAATCGGCACCGATCGTGACCCAGAACCTCCTCGAGAGCCGGAGAGAAATCGTTGAAAATGGCGTACATCGGCGGGGATGTTTTTGCGGTTCGTTTTTTTTTTCTCTCCCTCTGGCGCCGATGTTTTCACAGCTGGCGCGTACAGCCATGAAACGGGGGCCCGACCAGGTCACGGGCAGTTGAGAGTGTTTGAAGCGCCGCACTTCTCCTCGGCCACGTCCACTTTGATTCGGTCTAGACGGCGCGCGGCCGCAATAAGTTGGACGGCGCGTGCAGGTGCAGGGTGAGAAAGGCGATGCGAGAATACGTAATGAGCGGCCGCGCGACCGCAGTCGCGGCCGCCCGTCGACAGGGAAAACGTACGTTGAAGCGTTCATTTTGCCAATGATGACAGTCTGGTAGAAATTTGCTCTCAAGAAAAGATCAAGTCTTGGATAGGGCGAGTTCTTGAAGTACGCAATTACTTGGACGGTAAAATTAAGTTCCATGGTGGAATCCAGGTATTTCCTAGACCAGCAGTCCCCAAACTTTTCTTGCCCCACGGACCGGTTTCATGTCAGACAATATTTTCAGGGACCGGATAAATACAACAAAATAATAATATTGTGGTATTTTCGTCACATAATAAGAAACACGCATCATGACACGAGGAATGTACCATCTGGACGCAAAGATCTCTGGTCGCTATGGTAACATTTAAATGTCCCTTCAAAATAAGATACACCGCAAATACAAAGTGCATGAAAAATACAACTCACCATCGCCACATATGCCGAGTGGGCTTGGTGCGTCGGAATCTCCCATTGAGATAAATCCGTATATGAAGTAGGACTCCTGATACTGTCTCTGAAATGTAGCCTTCTTTTTCTTGAAAGTCGTCGGCTTCTCTTCTGTCTCCTGGCTGGGCCTTTTCCCCTTCCCGAAAAAAACTTTTCATCGATGTTTGTTTTTTATTCATTTTGTTAGCTCCTGGGTTTCATTTTAGCGGTAACCTATTACGTGAGTGAGAAGCGCGCTTTGACCTCCGTCAAGAGTGACACACTGTAGACGGATGTAACCTAGAATCCGGTAAATTTTTCAAAATAAAACATCTTTCAGATGCCAAAATGAATAAAACGGAAATAATGTAAGTTATTCATTCTTTCTGTGCGGACCGGTACCAAATGATCCACGGACCGGTACCGGTCCGTGGCCCAGGGGTTGGAGACCACTGTCCTAGACTTTTGTCTATATCAGATGCCAATTGTAAAAGCATCATTTTTTTAAAAGTGAAATATAAAAAAACTGACAAGACACCACCCTTTAAAAAATTTTCCCCCTCCGCCTTTTCCTGCCTCCAGCTCACACAGTAATGTTGAGCACAACAGAAAATGGATGTTTGTGTGAAATACACTGCACAGTATTGTCATATAACATTCATCTGGAACATTATTTAACACCAGTCTTACTTGTTCCTTTCCAGTTCTATCTCCAGTCTCGGTTCACGTGGCGCGGCGCCCGCCTCCTGCGCCCACTGCTGCAGTTCACCCTTCTGATGATGGCGTTCTACACCGGGCTGTCGCGCGTCTCCGACCACAAGCACCACCCCACCGACGTGCTGGCGGGCTTCGTGCAGGGAGCCCTGGTGGCCTACTTCATCGTGAGTGTGATGATAGCATATCATTGGGCTTAAGAAAGGACAAAAAAGGAATGAATTGAGTCACATATTACTGAATGAAAGCAAAATGATCTGTCAGTTCAAAAGGAAAATTGGACTTACATCCATCGATCCATTTTCTGATCCGCTTTATCCTCACAAGGGTCGCGGGGCGTGCTGGAGACTATCCCAGGTGTCTTCGGGTAATAGGCGGGGGACACCCTGAACCGGTTGCCAGCCAATCGCAGGGCACACACAGACGAACAACCATCCGCGCTCACACTCGCACCGAGGGACAATTTTGAGTGTTCAATCAGCCTGCCATGCATGTTTTTGGAATGTGGGAGGAAACCGGAGTACCCGGAGAAAACCCACGCAGGCCCGGGGAGAACATGCAAACTCCACACAGGAAGGCCGGAGCTGGAATCGAACCCGGTATCTCCACACTGCGAAGTCGACGCGCCAACCTACTTGTCCACCGGGCCGCCTGAAAGTTGGACTTAAAAAAGTAAACAAATGTGCATTATAAAGAAAAATTAAATGTATTTTTACGAATAATAATAATAACTATTTCCTCAATCAGTCGGTCACGCTCCAGTAAGATTGATGAGGCAAAGTAGTAATTGTGTCTGCATGAAGCACTTATTTAAGAAGTAGTGTCAATACTCTTTTTTTTTCCCACAAATCAAGTTTGCACATGCACACTAACAAATTGGACGAATCCAATGCCTGACAAGAGAGGGGGTAGCGCTCGAAAGGATCACGACAGAATTTGCATTATTGATGTGTTACGTTGTGAAAATGTAAAGTAAGATGGTTGTAGCTGCTTGAGGCATTCGCATCCGTCACAACAACAACAACAACACACACTTATACACATCTGACTTTACCTCCTCTTTCCTCTCCTTTGCGGCTTCTGCACCCCTCGGCAGCAAATGGAAAGGAGCGAGCCGGTTAATGAAGAACACATTGTGTGGAGTTTGTTTGCTTATGCGTGTGCCAGTGTGTGTGTGTGTGTGTGTGTGTGTGTATTGGTGTCAGTGCAAATCTTCTCTTGGCGAAAGGGTGCCTTACGCCCCAAGATGATTTTCATCATCATCATTAACGTCATGCAGGAGGGTGAGATGGAGCCAAAGTTGGGGGGGGACGATAAGCTTTTTGAAACAGGAATGAAGCTGTTAATTATTTCAGTTTTGGAGATTTTTTTATTTTTTTTTTTTGCTTAACTCGGCTGCCTTTGGGGAGAAGTATGAACACACATCCACACACGCTCACGTGCGGCCAAACTCCGCCTTCGTGCATCGCGGGAAGGGATCAGATTCATCAAAATTTCGCAAGAGGGGAATTGTGGCGCCAAGACCGAGCTTGGCACAGCGCATTCACACACTTTGCCACGCAGTATGGGGTCGCTCCTCAAGTGCCAGCAAAGTTTTGGTGCAATAACAATTGAACTGCAATGCTTGTGGTTCACTCAGCTCTTTGGACAACATCACCCTTGACATTTGGGCACATCAAACATGGGTCCCTCGTGATGTATTCAGACTCTGGAGCGAACAAAAACACCAATCAGATTGTCAAAAGGATGTCAAAGTGAAGTGTAGGAGAAGATCACGGGGGGTGGTGGGTTTTTTGGGGGTTTTTTTGTGGTTGATGACATCGTTTTGAAGAGGGTCCACATGCACGGAAGCAAGGCCGCATCCCACCATGGATATACAGTCCACTTAAGTCTACATATGGTGTTGGTTTTATGTCTCTGCAGACATAAATGATGATTTTTGATCAGAACGCGGCTGCTATAGAAAATGGATGGATGGGGGATATAATGATAGAGTGACAGTCGGTTTCCACAGGCTTTCATGTAAATGTCGTTTTGCGGTGGAACATAATAGAAGGCGCACATAATAATAAGAATAAGAAAACCTTTAGTCGTCTCACAATGGAGAAATTCCCAGTTTACAGCAGCAAAGTTATGAAAGGAAGAAAGTAGAAGAACAAGAAGTGTAGGAGCTGCTTTACAGCTCGCGGCGCCATCTTGAAGTCATACCAAACTATTACTGAACCTCCATTTTGTTTTAATTTGAAAACACAGAGTCATACTCAAAGCAAATGGCCAGCGTGGGCACATTCCCGCTACTTGTCATGATGCGTTCGTGTCCGTTCCGTCCATTTGATGACGGGTAGTGACTAACTTTTTGCTGATAACAAATGAACCCGTGGTTTGATAAATACAAATTACGATCGCTAATGCTAACAAGCGACGCAGGCCGTATTTGGCGCATGGCGGCGAAATCCAAAACAGGAAGCGGCCCGAGCAGCTTACCTGGCACTTCCTGTCAGACGGCATGACCCACTTTTCAGCGTGCAGACCAAGGAGCTCATCCAGCAGGAAGCAGCTGTCGGGGGGTAGGGAGAGCTGCGTTGTTTGTTTTTTCAGAGTTCATTTTCACTGCTGTTGAGACATCGGCTCAGCAATCGCACGGCGGGAAAAAGCGGGAAGACAAGGTTCAGGCACCTGAATTTAAAGATACACAACACACACAGCGGCGCGTCACTACCCGCACATTTTGTTTTCAATGTCGTAATCAAGTTCAACTGTTTGTTGAACACACCTCACACCGCAGGATAATCGTTCGGGATAATCTGTCATGTGACATCTGACAATCAGTCTTTGCTTTCTTTGATCAGCGGAAAGGGAAAATGCTGAAATTCGGACGGATTATTGGGATGGTCGTACTCTGCTTGACGCTTGTCGGGGATGATCACGTTTGCCCTGATTATCGGTATGTGTGGACCTAGCTTTACAATTATCGGCCGGACCGTTTTCTGATTAGAATTGAAAGTAAAAATCACTCTTAACATAGGACAGTAGCCCAGGATCATATTTTTAGGGACGCCTGACAATCGAGCCTAACATTTGCTGATTTTAATAAAGAGGATGAAGGGGGAGGTTCAAACTTGGCCCGATTATCGTTATGTGTGTACCCCACTTTATGACTCGCAGCCAAACCGTTTTCGAAGCAAATTGAGGAGGATACATCACTCTTAGGAGACCTCACGCCAGCGGATAATCACTCAGGATCATCTTTTAAAGACATCCGACTATGTGGCTGAAAATGACTGTGACGCGCGGGGGGCGGTGGGCGGTGGGCGGAGCAAGCGTCTACGTCTTTATTTTGGCAAGCGCGTCATTCAGAAGACATGAAATTAAAGTCTGGAAAACCCCAAATAAAAAAAACAATATATACACTTCAGATATTTTCAACGTATTATTGCGAGCCACTCGACAGTGGCATTTGCAAACAACGTTTTTGACTATCAGTTGCCGCACATTCGCTTCCTGTGTGACGCGGCGTCCTTCATGTGTCTGCCCTGACATTTCAATTGTGGTTCGGATGCACGAGTCGAGGCATGACCGCACGTACGCACGCACACACACACACACACACACACACACACACACACACACACACACACACAC